CGTCAGCTCTGGACACGACCTGGGGGGGGAGGGGAGCGTCAGCCCTGGAACACGACCTGGAGTGGGGGGGGGAGCTGGACACTGTTGATCTGGCTCTGAAGTCCCTCAAACCTTTGCAGCTCCAGGGAGGGACACGCACAGGTGCCGGTCACTGTCTGGCCTTGGGAAGCAGACTGTGGTGGTTGGTGACACTGCTCTCTAACTGGTCACTTTGCTGCTTCCAGGTGTTCACCTCCAATGGCCCCACCGTGATCATGCCTACCTGGTTCTGCTCCCGAGCCTGGTTTTCTCACGTGGGCCCGTTTGACGAGGGCGGGCGGGTAAGTGCGGGCCCCGTGGGCCTCCCCCTGGGGTCAGGGAAGGCGTCACCCCTCTGTAGGGGAGCCTGGGCCGGCAGCGCTGGGAACCTGCCATCCTGGAGGTCTCCCCAGCGCTGCCTGTGTTGTGTCAGAGGCTGGAGGTCTCTGTGTGAAGGCTGGGGGCGCCCGGCGCATCTGCTTCTGGCTCCCCGGCCCCTCTCCGGGTCACAGTGCCCTGGTTTGAGGGCTGTCTGTGGGAAGGCGCGGGTGTGGGTGGTGGTGTCCCGCTGGCCCTGACGAAAGCGGCAGAGGAGCACCCCTCAGCTCTGTGGTCGGCGGGCCCCAGGCATCAGGTCCCAGGTCCGCACCCTCACCCACCTGTGGGGCCTCACCTGCAGAGCCTGGCCCATGCTGGCCCTCCCTCCCCGATAGTCTCAGGGTGAACACTCGGACGCCCAACTGGAAAGTAAATCTTAGGGTTGATTAGTTTGTTCATTTTCCCTAAACCCCCCTTAAACTGGCCTTGAGAATGCAAGTTCTGGTTCCCACGGTGAGGGGGTCAACCAGGCATGTTAGGGCCCATCAGGCTAGAAAGCAGGGGTGGGGACCACGGCCCAGGCTCACCGTCAGCCCTGGTCCCTTGGCCCTGGGCCTCTCTGCCCTGCGTCTCCTCTCCCCTTGGGGCTGACCCTCACTGACTACACAGGGGCCATGTGGACCCTTGGGTTAGGGCCACCCCCTCCCTGATCCCATCTGCACCCCTGCCTGCCGCTCATGAGCAGGGGTCAAGGATCAGGGACCAGGGATCAGAGACTATAAATCAGAGACCAGGGGTCACCAGGGACCAGGGACCTGGGCTGGCCTGGGGCCGTGGCTGGAGCAAGTGAGAGATTTGAGCAGGAGGAATCCACCACCAGGACGGGGACGTGAAGTGTTTCCATGGCTCCTTCACAGAAACAGTGGAGCTCAAGAGTCATCGCAGGGGGCACTCAGTGGGGCACAGGTGCCCCAAGGGCTGGACTGGGCCTGGGGGCTGCTCCTCAGTTGACTGTCCAGGTCACGAGGCTGCAGTTCCCACCTGCAGAGAGAAGGGCAAATGACGGAGGCAGCAGGGACAGTCGAGGTGACCAGGGTGGTGTCCTGGACACAGGTTGTGAGCTGGAACCTCAGGGTTTTAACTGGGAAATGCACTCCTGAGGCAGGACTGGGGAGGGGAGTCAGATCTGGAGGTGGGCGCAGTCGAGTGTCCCCCAGAGGCCCCCTCCGGCCCTTAAACAAGAAGGGAGTAACTAAGATGTGTTTTGTTGGCTCAGATCACGGCTCGTGTGTGTGTGTGTGTGTGTGTGTGTGTGTCTGTCGGGAAGGGTCCTCGTTCCGCCCAGCCCAGCCCAGCCCAGCCCACGCCACTCAGAAGTGTCTTTGCTGCTGGGAGGCCCCCTGGGCTCTGAGCCGCCCTGTCCCCCTCCAGGCACTCAGACTCTGCTCTGCTTCGCAGTTCTGGCTGGTTTCTGTGGCTTCTGGTTGTATTTTATTTGCATTTCCAAGGTGACTGACGTCGCCGAGCAGGTTCTCATTTGCTGGTGGGCTGTGTGTATGCTGTCTTACGAAGCGCCCGCGCCTGTTGCCCCGTGTTCGGCAGGGGGGGTCTGTCCATGGCTGAGTTGGCGGCTTCCTGGTCAGACCCTTGCTTGTGGGTGTCTCCTCCCACTTCCGGTCTCTGCGTCCTGGGACCTCCTCTCTCTCCCACCTGCTCCGCGGGTCCCAGAGTCTGTCGTGGGGGCATCAGAGCAGGGAGACCGCAGGCGTTCCGCCCGGAGCCAGAGCCAGCTCTGTGCTCTCTCTGCAGACTTCTCCTGGTTTCGAAAGGCCTGTGTTTTGTCATCTCTGTTTCTTTGTAAATGCCCTTGACCCCACGTGGCCTGGAACCTTCCCCGGTCCGCTTGTTTTCAGTTTCTGAGGGTTGCGTGACCCCACCTGTGGCCTGCTCCCTCCTTCCTGTCTCCTGCCATTCGGGTTGCGTGGGTTCCACTCACAGCAGGGGCGGGTCCTGCTGGCCGGTCTCCTTCTGCCCCCTGGACTGTGTGCCGCGTCCAGCCCGGCAGAAGCCTCGGCTCACCCCGTCCCTGAGGCTCTGAGAGCTGCCTCCTGGCCGTGGACGGGAGCAGTGGACGGCCTTTCAGGGTCTGCTTTCTCCTCCGCGAGCTCTCCTGGCTTGTGCTTTTAAAGCATTCGCTCTGCCCCATTGTGACTTTGTTCCAAAGACTTGTTGCCCATTGGCTAGATTTCGTTTTCCATTTCAGCCACCTTCTCTTAACCCTTCTTACTTATTTCTCATTTTCTTATTTATTTCCCTGCATTTCTGCGGTGTCCCTCGTTACACTCCTGTTCAAATCTGTTTTCCCTGCAGGACCTTCTGGTCTAATCTTCGTTTCTCACACAACTCTATCCGTTCTGAGCTTAGTCGGGCTTGCTGAGGGGTAACCCAGTGCCGTGTTACGCTGTGCAGCTCGGGCCCCTGAGCAGCCTCGCCCGCCGCGGAGCCCCTGCAGCCCCCCAGCCCTTCTATCTTTCCTCCTTCCGCAGGGCTCCAGTTTCATCATTGAGTTTCTGCTCTGTCCCCTCATGTTCCAATGTCTTGTTGACGGTCATAGCGTTTTTTTTCTCCTTCATGGTTTTTGTTTTGCTGTCACGGGGCTGTTTTCTGCTTCCTTCTCACCAGGGCTTTGTGAGAGCGGTTCACGGGATTCCTGCTGCAGGGTCACCTGTCTGTCACGCAGGGAGGGGCCCAGGCCCGCCCTACCCCGCTATCTCCCCCCGCAACACCGAGGACTCGGGCCCAGCCACCATCTTCCTGGACGTCACCTCTTCCCACACCGCAGCCTCCGTCTGCTGTTTGCAGAGTTGGGGGAGCCGGCCACTGCAGGGAGTACAAGTGAAGAAGCCAGGACACCCTCCACCTCGCATGGAGCCGTGGCGGCCTGGGTGCCCCTCCCCCCACTAAATTCTCACTTTTCTTTTCACCAGAAATAAGGAAGCCCTGAGGGCTGAGTTCTCTTGTTCCTAAATCTCTGAGGTGCCTTTGAAAATGCAGAAAATTAGAGCAAGGAGCCATGCTGTTGCCACAGCTGCCCTGAACTTGTGCGTCTGGCCTGTCAGCGTATGCTATGGGCAACTTCTGGCAGAGCTGAAAACACAGTCTTGAAACTTGATTTTTAATTAGCATTTTATTGTAAATCTTTTCACATCCTCGTGCTCTTTGTGAAGTGGCTTGAGTCTCCACATGGGTCCATCAGGGAGCAAGGATGTCTGCGCTTTTCCCGCAGCTCATTCCTCTCTGTCCTGCAGCCCTGACCTCCTGCGGTGGGTCCGTAAAGAGCACAGGGTCCCGAGGCCCCGGCACCGGGTCGGAGGCCTTGTGAAGGCCTAGTGTAGCGCCCTGGGGGTAGGAGCCTGGGATTCCCGCCGAGTCGCCCTGGGCCTGGGGCTGCTGCGCCTCGGTTCGGCCTGGGGCACGCTCGCCACGGGGTGTGGACATGTGCCCGAGGGTCCCCTCTCTCGGAGGTGATAGCCACCAGGCTGCACCAGGACGTGGAGGCGGTCAGCCCGAAATGGCGTTGGTGCCACCTTGGCTGAGCTGAGCTCGGGGGTTTGAGAGTAAAACCAGCCTCTGCCTGGAGCCGTGTGTCCTGCAGGGTCCCCATCCCCACCGTCACTGGGATCTGCCCACCAGATACCCCTCTGGGGAACTCCCTGCCCAGATGCTCTTTGGTTCTCACTTTGAGTTTGAGAGAGAGGAGCGGCCGTGGTTCCCTGTCAGGACTGAGGCCTGCTGGCCCCAGGCTGACCAGCCGGGCAGCGGCATCCCCAGCACCGGGCCCTGGTCTAAGTCTAGCCCCGGCGCACGGTGGGCAAGCTGCCCGGCTCCTCCAGGCAGGGGCGAGAGGGCTTGCTGTCCCAGGACGCGGCACCCGGAGGGGCCTGCAGACCCCCTGCAGCAGGGGTCATGGGGTCGAGGGTCGGGAGTAGCTGGTGGCCATGAGTGAGGGCACCGCTGGCCCTTTGGCAACTTCTTGCCCTGCAGGCGCCTCTTGTGGTCACACATGCCCAGCGACATCTGTGTGCAGGGGCAGCTGGACGTGTTGTTTGCCGGCCCAAGTGGCCTCACGGAGGGCGCTGGACACAGGTGTGTTTTCTGTCCCGAGTGAGACATGCCTCCTTTGTCCCGCAGGGTGTCCCCGAGGACCTGCTCTTCTTCTACGAGCACCTCAGGAAGGGCGGCGGGGTTGTCCGCGTGGACCAGAGCCTCCTCCTTTACCGCTACCACCCCGGCGCAGCCACACACTCCGTCCTCGAGTACGCAGCCTGGCCAGGCACGGTGGGGTGGCCAAAGCCCTGGCTGGTCAGCAGGGCAGACACAGTGACCCCGGTCCGGTCTCTGCCCCGAGACAGGAAATCTGGGAGCTGGGCCGGTGTGAAGAGCACTCACCTCCCTGGAGGTTGTCGGGGGCCTGGGGACCAGCGCGTCCCCAGGGGAAGGAAGGCCAGCATCTGTCCTTCCTGAGATCTTGTCCCCACTGTGAGCTGACAGGGCTCGGGGTGACCCTGCCCCACCAGCTGCTGTGGTGACAGGGGGCTGCACATGCCCCTGCTTCTCCCCACCGAGGGGGCTGCGGGGACACAGGCTGGGCCACACCCCCTACGTCCTACGTGGGGCATCCCCCAGGCCCCAAGGCCAGAGCCACCACGTCCGGGGTGCACTTGAGGCTGACTGCCAGGACAGGGCAGGAGACGGCGGGAATGCAGGCGGAGGGACGCAAGGGAGGGCGTGTTCTTACTGCTTTATTTTGAAGTGTGTGTGTGTGCACACGTGTGTGTCCATGTGCACACGTGTGTGGCTGCTGCATTTCACATGACTACAAGCATGCGTCCCCTTTGGTGCCATCGCAATGCTGCCCACTTATGGGGACGGACAGTGGGGCCCTGAAGAAGGTCTGTGGTCAAGGGCTCCTCTGGATGGAAAGAGCTTGGCGCAGAGTGTGTCTGTGCTTCTGGAAGGGGGCAGGCTCATCCTCCCCCTGGAGGAGGCGACACTCGTTGGGAGGTGTGGCTTCTCAGCTTCTGCCCTGGGAGGTCTAAGGCCACTGACGCTGAGGGAGCGGCGTCCACTGCCGAGGGGCTGTGATGCTTGCTCATGCAGGTGCCGGGGAGAGGGGGCCGGACTGCAGCGTCCCTGAAACTGAGACTTGGCTTCTTTGTTGTCCAGCACTGAGCAGAACAACCTGGTTTCTCTTCTGTTAAACCTGAATTTGGATACAGTAGCATGGTGAGGTGTCATGGTTCGGGAGTTCACTGTCATGAACTTGATTCAGTGCAAATGGGATTTGCACACATGGGGTAAAGGTGGTCTTAGAGGGGACGTAACAATCCTAAATGTGTCTATTCCTAATCACAGAATTTGAAAATATGCGAAGCAAAAACTGACAGGAAGAAAGGGAGAAATAGACAAATTCACAGTTACAGGTGGAGACTTCAGTTCTCCTTTCTCAGGGGCTGATCGAAGTAGCGGGAGTCTGTAAGGAGACAGAAGATTTGAACAGCACTGCTGCCAGCATGACGGAACAGACATTTACAGAACACTGCATTCGACTGCAGAGAACCTGCTCTTGTAGAATGCAAGTAGACAGTACTTTGGGCCAATAAACAAACCTGAGTAAACTTTAAATGACAGATCGTGCAAGATATGTTTTATAACGTAGAAATCATGAACACATCTTAAAAATCCAAAATACTTGGAAATAAAGCAACCAAGAGTAAAAAATCACAAAGGATATTAGAAAAAAACTAAGTTGATGACAAAACAGTACGTCGGAATGTATGAAATGTAGCTTAAGCAGGATTTATTGTAAAATTTTACGGCTTTAAAAACATGTTACAGAAGAAACTATAGAGTCATCTATGTCTCCACGTTTAAAAGTCACTAAAGTAAACTCAGACAGCAGGAGAGAAAGGAGGAACTGAAGATGATGAAACTGAAAAAAACCAGCAAAGCTAAGAACTGGTTTGAAATGAAATCAGTACAATTGATAGACCTTTAAGGAGATTGACTTTGAAAAGGAAACACAGTTACCAAATTACCAATATACTGAAATGAAAGAGGGGGCATCGCAAGTCCAACAAACATTTAAAGTATAAACAATAATTGAAAATAGACCCGCAGTTTAAATCCTTGATAAAGGCAAGTCACATGGCTTTATTGATACATTCTCTCAAAAACGTAAGGAGGAAATGATACCAACATAAGTTCTCTCAGGAAGCAGATGGAGAGAAAGATCTACTGGGCGTTGGGAAGGAGCTCCCGACTCACCTCACAAGACCAGCGTGACTGACACCGAAGTGCCATCAGAATATTACAGGGAAATAAAAGTACAGACCAGTATCCCTTCTGACAGTAGGTGCAGAAATCACTCATAAAATGTTACCAGGTCAAGTTCAGAAGCGTCTATGAAAAAATAATACCTCTGTCTGGTTTAACATTCAAAAATCAATTGGTACGATTCACTGCAGTAACAGAATAAAGAAGAATCGCGTGATCAACCCCCCAGTGCAGAGAAAGCACCTGGCAGAGTTCAGTGCCCATCTGTGACTTTTCAGAACTCTCAGCAAACTGTAAATGGAAGGAGACTCCCTCACCCTGATGGTATCCACACAAACCTACATCAGCCTCGTACCTCGTGTTTGAAGACAGAAAGCCTTCCTTCAAGGTCAGGAGGAAGCGAGGTGAAAGCCACTGCTTCCCTTCAGCACTGCAGTGGAGGTCAGTGCAGGAAGACAGGGAAGAGGAGACGCACAGGCTCGAGAAGTGGGGTGGAACTCGCGTCACTTGTGGGCGGCGTGACTGCTTCTCGAGAAGTTAGGAACAGTGACTCAGCACGTCTTCTAGGATGTAAGTTTATAGACGTGCAGCAAACAATGGAAAAATGCAGTTTGAAACAATGTGCAATGGCATCGAGTCAGTTTAACAAGGCACGTGTCTGTTCTCTGCAACCTGCCAAAAAGTGCTGTGGGAAATTACAGAAAACCTGTGATGCAGACGGAGAGAGAGGCCGCCCTCACGGGAGGAAGGACTCATATTGGCAACGTCACTTCTCCCCAGACTGGTCTGTGGACTCAGTGCAGTAGAAGTCCCAGCTGGCTTCTTGGTAGAAACTGATGGTCTGATTTTAAAATTTGCATGGACATCACAAGGCCCAGAATGGTCTAAACCACCTTGAAAAGAACGAAGTTTGAGGACTCACCGTGCCTGACTCTAAGACGTGCTCTGAAGCGACAGCGATCAGGAGCGTGCAATGACAGCGCAAAGACAGACAGATCAGTGAAGCGGAGCCGAGTCCACAGACAGATTCAAAACTGGTTTTCAACAGTCTCCAAAGGCATTCAACAGAAAAAGAAAAATATTTTCAAAAGAATATCCATATGGAAGAGAAGAATCTCACACCCTAGAGAGAAAGCAATTTTAGAAGGCTTAGACAGAAACACAGAAGCAGTGAAAATGTACAGCTCCTGGGAGAAAGCACAGGGGAGCATCTCCACAGTGTGGGGACCGGTAAACAGTCAGCAGAGACGAGACCAGAATCTGTAACCACTTACCAGCTGGACTTCATCAACATTAAAAAATTTGCTCACAAGAATACACCATTAGGAAAATGGGTACGCAAGCCACAGACTGGAGGAAGACGGCCACAAATCTGTGCATCTCACAGAGGGCTAGTGTGGAGGGCACGTGAAGAACCTGTATCGCCCAGGACAAAAGCAAGCAAAATACTTCACGGGGGGCGACACTTCACACAGCGATACCGCATCAACAATCAGACACCAGTTCTACTCTGCACGCCTAATGGAAGGGCCGTCGTCAACATCTGCAGCCCCAGATTGCGGCGAGGATGTGGAGCTACCTCCGGACGCTCGCACGTCGTCCTCAGAAGAGGCGGCAACGCAGCCACTCTGGAAGACTGGGGGCCTTATTTCATTAATTACACTGACCCCTGCCCTCTGACCCAGCAAGTCCACGTGTAGGCGCGTATCCTGGAGTAGTGAATGCACTGCTCGGCGCTCACTGTCAGCAGCCGAGAGGGAAGAGCCCAGATGCCCCTCCACGGGCGACGGGCGAGCCCCCTCCACACGCAGAGCCTGCAGAACGGGGATTAATTGCCAAACTGCGGTTAGTAGGAGAAGCCAGACACAAAAGCGTGCGCGCTGCGGCTTCCACTCACAGCAGACTCCCCAGCAGGCAGCGCTGGCGCACGGTGCGCGGGAGAGACGGGCTTCCTCTGGGGAAGGGGGCTTTCCGGGGGCGCAGGTGTCACACGGACGCGCACATCCGCCGTAACTGACCGACCCTGTGTGCACTGGACGTCCTTGCTCCCAACCCTGTAAACTGCCTGCATTCGAGTTACTAAGATACTGGCAAACGCTTCTTCAAAGAAGTAACCACATTCCCACCATCCATAAATGGAACGGGAAACTGGCTGAACAGAGTCCAAAGGTGGTCACAGGCCCGCAGAGCCAAGAAAAGCCGGACGCCTGGAACCCCTCCAGGCCTCCCACACCCACCCTCACTTTGAGCTCCTGTGAAGCAAGGTGAGGTGAGGCGGCTCGGTGAGGGCCTGGTGGCGGCCTCCCCCCGGGTGTCGGGGCCCGGCAGCTGGCCAGAGAGCTGAGCCACACACGCCGCATCCTGTCTGCGTGTGATTGTCTTTCATGTTGAGACCTTTTTCTCTTTTTGCAGCGTGAGGTTTTGCCACCCACAAGGTAAAAGAAGTGATCTCATGTCAGTTTCTGTGTCGGATTAAAGTCTTTGAGCAGCAAAACCCCGCAGAGTAGTAAGTGCTGATAACACCCTCAGGCTTGTCAATAGTTGAATTCCTTCAGACGCTCTCCCAGAAGCCTTCTGGGTAAGAGCGCTTCCCTGAATTTTGTCCTTTACACTTTAAGGTGAGAATATATCACTTAATTTAACAGGTTCCACCATGAAACCCTTCAGCCAGAGGCATAAAGTAACAGGCTCTGAGCCAGTGTCTCCCCTCCCAGCCCCCGCGCCCCCTGGGCTGTTTCCCACACCGTCCACTTCTTCATACTCTTGCTGTGCGTGATGTCTCTACACAACATGGTTTTCCTCTTTAGAACGAGGCCCATGGCCCCTTCCCACCCTTCCCCCTGTGGTGGGGCTCCTGAGGTGGTCTGGACTCGCGGGAAGTTCGGTTCTGGCCTCAGTCTGGCCTCAGTTCCTTGGGTGCTGCTGACGCTGCGTGCTGACGGCCGTGCAGGCGGGGTCTTGTTTGGGTTGGAGTGGGTCTTGCTCGTAAGTTTCTCTCCAAAACGATGTGCTTTGTGGCCCAGACTGGGGCGTTACTCACCTCGAGATCCCCTTGGCCCCTACCAAAATTACATCTGCTCAGCACAGTCCTGATTGAGACGTCACAAGTGGCTGGTGGGCGGACGGGCCCAGCAGTCAGGGCTGCTCACCCCAAGCAGGTGGACACTGCATCCAGAGCCCCAGCCACATCAGAGTGGGCCCCACGCCCCCAGCCAGTCCCAGGCCCCACCTGGAGGAACTGCTCCCTTGAGATGTGCCGTGGGGCACTGGGAGCTGGTCGCCACGGAGAACACAGCAGGGTGGGGGCCGTTGCACCGCGGGTTCCTACTGCCACCCAGGTTGGGGTCCAACCCACGCTGCAGAGGGTGGCCGCAGGCTCTGGGGAGGGGGCGTGAGGGCTGGTCTGCTCGTCCCAGAAAGGGCTCCAAGGAAGGGTCCGTGGAAGGATGCTTATGTCAGGGATTCCTCTGGGGAGGAAGACTCGCAGTCTGTTCCACTGAATGCCTGGAGGACCCCCCCACCTCAGCCACCTCGATTCCTAAGTGATGGTTTCACGTCTGCACCGAGGGCCAGCCTGGACCTCAGGTCTGCATAGAGCAAGGGCTCACGGAGGGGCCCAGCCATCTGGGCAGCATCCACAGGACACAGAGCCATGTGGCAGCCTGAGGTGGGGAGTTGTGTCCAGGCACCTCTGGTCACAATGACCGTGGTGGCAGGTGCCGGATGTCAGGGGGGCCGGGTCTCCCTTGGGCTGAGTGTCCCCCATGCTTCCTGAGCGTGTGGGCGTGAGCTCTGCCGCCCGGGGGTTCATGTGAGGACAGGGCAGTCTGGGAGCGGGGCAGCAGGAGGCCCCGCGCTCCTGGGTCACCCTTCTCCCCTCCCTGCAGGACCACCATCTGGACCCACCGAGTCCGCTTCCTGGAGGAGCGGGCCCTGCCGCACTGGGCGACCTTCACCATCTGGAACGCAGGCAGGCAGGGCCGCCGGCTCTACCGCAGCCTGACAGCTGAGTCGCGGCGCAAGGTGAGGCCCTCTGTCCCTCCCCTCCCTGGCCCAGCAGCGTGGCTGCCACTGCCCCTGAGGCTGGCTCCCGTGCCCCCCAGGTGGTGGCTTTCTGTGATGTGGACCAGAACAAGATCAAGAAGGGTTTCTACTGCTACGAGGAGTCTCAGGTGCGTAGGGGCCGCCCCGGGGCCTTCTGAGTGAACGCTGCCCAGAACCTTCCTCTCTGTGAAAGGCCATCTGGGCCCAGGCCTGCCACCAGCCCTGCATCCTGGCTCTCAGGGCTGGAGAGCGCTGCCCACCGTTGTTGTGGGGACGGGCAAGGGGCTGGAGACCAGGTCTGAACTCCCAAGGAACCAGCGTGGGGCAGCACCCGGGCCTCCTCTCCCCGCAGGAACGGCCCAAGCCGCGGGTTCCGGTCCTGCACTTCCGAGCCGCCAGGCCACCCTTCGTCATCTGCGTGAAGCTGGTGAGTGCGGGCCTGGGCCAGGGGAGCCCCAGGTTGGGAGTCTGCATTATGTCCCCCAGGGACCGTGGGCTAGAACCAGAGGTGGTGGCCTCTGCTCCAGGGGCCACGCGACAGCTGCAGGCAACACCTCTCCTGTCCCCCTGGGCACAGGTGCCGGGCGGCGCAGCGTTATGTCTCTGGGCTCTGGGCTGGACATCAGGGTCCCACAGCTCAGGGCCCTGGGACCCCCTCTTGTTCGCTATGTGGCCAGCTCTCTTGAACTCATGCCTTTCCAGGGGTGGCCCCCGTTGGGAGGGCTCCCACACCGTGAAACCCGCCAGTGGGATCTGGCGGTGGGACGTCCTTGTGTCTGAGCAGCTGTGGAGGCCTTGGCCGCCCAACCCTGGCCTGTCCGTCTCGTCTCGTTGTTCGCTGGAGCTCTGCGCGCAGCCAGCACTGATCCTTTGTCGTTAGTGTCTGTCAGGTACTTTCTCTGTCTGTGACTCGGTTCCTCGGTTCTTCCCCAGAACAATTTATCTTGAATGTGGTGCATTTATCAACCTTTCTCTTAGAATGAACGCTTCTAGTGGCTCGTTTTGGAATTTCTTCTCAGTTGGAAAGATCACCACACGTCTGTCACGTTTACGTACAAAAACCCACCCCAACTGCGGGCCTGGGTCAGCGCGTGTGGCTGGTGGACAGTGACGGGTGGTGAGCTGGGCCCTTGCTGTGCCCTTGGGGGTCGTGGGAGACACAGGACCTCTGAGGTTGAAACCTCGGTAACCGGGTGCCCAACCAAGGCCTTCCTGGAGGCGGTGGCTTTTGTGGAAGGGAGGCAGATGCCACAGTCAGGCAGTAGCAGCGGGGAAGCCGGCAGGACGTGCCTCTGGCCCCCACGTCAGGTGCAGACACTTGCCAAGCCTCAGGCTCGGGGCCCCCTGGCCCTCATTCGTTCCGACACAGCTGGCCCATTCCACTGCACAAGAGGTCCGAGGACCTGTGTGTGCGGCGGACAAGTGAGTGGAGGGAGGTGGAGAGGGGATAGCCCTTCATTGGTGGCTGGTTTTAAAGGCCTGGGTCCCCTCTGCACTGACTGTTTACTTTCGGCTTCTAACTGCTGTTGCAGGCACCTCCGCAGGGGCCCTGCCAGGCAGGCCAGGGTGGTGCGTCCTGACAGGCAGGCAGTCAGGCAGGGCCCAGCCCCTCGCCCCAGGTGCCCCTGTGGGGAAGTGGGTGTGAGAAGCAGCCTGGGGGGCCTCCAGCCCGCGTGGCCAGGCGCGTCCCGCACTCCTGCCCAGTGAGACCTGCTGCCCGACGCTGCCCTGCCCAGCCGCTCTGCCGTTTCTCTGCCCCTCTCAGCGCAGAGCGTGGTTGTGGTTCCTGAGGCTCTAGATCCTCCACGTCATGTTTGTGAGCCCGGCTGCCCCTTCTCCGCCTGTCTGTTCCAGGACCCAGCCGTGAGCATCACACTGGAGCTGCGTGTGGGGGTCCTGCCCGCCCGGTTCTCTTCGTGGGTCGTCGGGTGGCTGTGACAACGCCCAGGAAGTGGCCAGGCTGGGGGACATGCCCAGAGGCAGGAAGGGGTCCCAGGCCTCACTGACTGGACGGTGGGATCACTTCCTCTTTGACACTTCCCGTCAGTTCCTTGTCCCGGGAGCGTGTCTGCTCCTGCCCTGTGGGCGTTCTGTGCCTGCGCTGGGCTCTGACCCCTCACTGGTTTTGTCCCAGCCTTTCCATTCTCCCATTGATGGGATATGGCCGCTCGCGGCAGCATCAAACCTGAATGGTCTTGGGAAGCTGGAGTCCCCTTCTGCGTCAGGGCAGGCCTGCCCTCCCGGTGTCCCTCCACAAGCCCAGGTCTGTGGCCAGACTCTAGGCTGGCCCGGCCCCGAGCCGAGCTGTGTTTTGTTGGAAAACGCAGCAGCAGAGATAATGGGGGGAGCGGGGTCTGAGGGTGGAGGGCGGGTGCAGGACAGGAAGCGGCGCAGGTATTTCGGGGTGGAATGGTTTTCACTCTTGTGCTTCCAGCAATGCCCAGGTATAGCAGCCAGAGGAGCAGTGCCAGCCCAGGGCCAGGCGAGGCCCCGTGCTGGGCCCAGGGTCAGACGGAGCACGCCCAGCAGGCACGCGCCTGGTGGCCAGGCACCCCTCCTGCGTCCTGCCTCGGGCGCCCCCACTTTGCTGGGCAGCAGGCCCTGGAAGAGGGGCGGAGCCCGCGCTGTTTCCCGAAGCCCTGCCGTGGCCCCGGGCAGGGGGTCTGGAGGGGGAGGGGCAGCATCCCTGCACAAGCCCAGCTGCAGGGTTTGGGGATCTGCCCCCGAGAAGCCTCGGGTGAGCCTGCTTCCTGGCAGGGCCACAGCCCCCTCGGCCATGGGGACGGTACGCAGCAGGAGGGCTCCGTCAGCAGCTGGTGGTTGAGTTGAACTCCCGCGTCCCTGGAGTGGGCCGGCTGCCTCCCTCGTGGCCAGTGGGACAGTGTGGCCGCAGCCAGCAGGGTCCCTTCTGGCCCCTCTCTTAGCAGTTGGTTAGAAGTTCACAGGGGGCCCCAAACCCCAGGCCCCCACGGGAGGCTCTCTGGTGGGGGCCGGGGGAGGCCTGGCTAGAGCCAGACGGTGGCTTCTCCCACAGGACCTCACGGGGGGCGCATTTGAAGACAACCTGCGGTCGCTGCACCTGCAGGAGGGCCGGGATTTCCTTCACTTCAGCTGACGGACCCACGGCAGCCACGCCCAGGTACGTGGGACCCCCCCGCAGCCTGGGGTCTGGAAAGCGTGTCTGTGTTTACCATGTGTTACTCTCGCCCCTGCTTCTGAAAACCCACGCGCCAGCGGCTGTTCTTGTTACGCGGTCGCTGGTCTCCCTGTGCACGCCCCCGCACCTGCTGCCTGCGGTTCATCCGCTCGAGTCAGAAGGGGCTCTCAGCCTGGGGGACCTGCCCCGACGACCGGCCTGGGGGCCGCTGTCATCACACCTGGGAAGGGGTTCTGCTGCTGAGCTTTCTGCAACGCACGGGACGGTCCCCATGGCAAAGAGCTGTTTGACCCCAAACGTCAGCAGTGACGAGGCAGGAAAAGCAGCCGTGCAAGAGGGCTGTGTTTTACCCGAAGACCCCACTTTGTTCCCTCCCCTGGGGAGCAGCTGTCCTGGGCATCAGTGTGCTCGAGGTGGCGGTTACTCTCCTCAAGCCCACGTGCCCCCCCCCGCAGACGCGCACGCACTCCACCCGCCCGCCGTCCGCGCATGCGGCACCGTCTCCCAAGGCGCCAGTGCCACGCGGGGCGGGTGCTCTGGCGTCTCCCGACTTCTGTACTTGCGTTGTCTTTGCAGGTCATTTCGTCAGCCCCTCCGTTCCCCACTTCTCCCTCCTGCTGTGCCCGTGGGGTTGTCAGCTCACCGTTGAGCCGTTTTTCCCCTCATCTCTCCTTGGTAATTCCTAGCCCTTTCAAAGCTGAACTTCAGAGTCTTTGGGGTCTGACTTCACTAAGGGCCTGCTGCTGCTGCTCGTGGCCCTGTGCGATCTGGGGACGTGAGCTTACGCTCTCCTCTGTGGTGGGCTCAGGCTGCGTCCTTTTCCTTTGGGTTTTGGTTGCTGCCTCTGCCCGTGTTGTCAGCACCGCCGGTTGGGGCCTGTCTGACCGCATCTCCCCTCAGCAGCACTGGGCGGAGCTAGGTCTCACGGGCCCAGCCGTGGAGGACACGGCTGTCAGGGCCCAGCCTTATGTGGCGTCTCCTCTTAGGTTTGCCCCCAGGCCTCCCAGTCGGCAGCCGTGGAAGCTCGGGCCCCGCACGTCCTGATCCAGGCCCTCACCAGCCTCTCTCCCTCTGGCCACAGGTGCTTCCTTCACTGTCTGGTCCCCGTTTGCAGCCCCACCCAGGTCTCCTGACCACCGCCTCAAGATGACCACCCAGCACACCACCTGCTCCGCACTCCCTCTGCGGCTGCTTCCCATGACACTGTTTCTGCTGCTCTGCCCCCACAGACCCGCCACCTGGACACAGGTGGGCCCCGTCTGGAGCAGGCGGTTCCCTGGGGCCTGTTGAGAGCAGGTGGGCCCAGCGGGCTCCGGATGGCTGAGGCCGCGGCTGAGCAGGTTTTCCTTGAGCTGCAGTCGGCAGCCCTGGAAGAACTGCTTCTCCAGACGGTAGCGTCCAAGTGGTGAACTGGCCGGTCTCCACGTCTCAAAGGCCATTTCTCTGGAATCTTTTTTGTTTAAATTATGCTGAAAACAGTTCATTTTATTCCTTCTCAAGAACTGCTTGCTTGGTTTGCCACAGCAGAGGCCCCGACAGGCTCGGTGGGCACTGTCTCCGGCCCCCGTCTGCTGCACGGACGCAGGCGGGCCCTGTGGGAGGGGCGCCTGCCCACCAGCGTGGCCTCGCAGGACCATCCCTGTGACGTCCACCAGCTGCGGGGTCTCTGGCTGGAACACTCCCTCATTCTCGAGGGGGAGGCGTGTTTTAAGGCTTGAACGAAATGAAAAAGCTCAGCGTAAGAGGTGAGATCCTCACACGAGTGTAACCCACGCTGTCTCTTCCGGGGGCTAGAGAGGACTTTCCGCCAGTCTAGCGCGTGAAGGTAAACGTTCTTGGGAAGCCCAACAGCTTAACCCAGGCAGGAAACCCCAACTCCCGACCAAGGCGGCAGCAGGACGTGTCCCGGCCCCCCACGCCTGCCTCCACGAGGGGACTTGGGCGCAGCAGCGCTGTCCTGGGCTCGTGGCCCCAGACTTCGCCCCGGAGGTCCTGCACCTGCCCGTCCAGACCTGAGCTTGTGGAACAGCAGCACGGGGACGGCCGGCGTGAGCACAGGCCGCCAGGATAGAGCAGCCTGTCTTTACCCGTGTGTGACCTGTGCTGGACAAACGAGGAAAAGGTGCAGCTTTATCAAGAACAACCCACGTGGTTCTTCCCACATCACCGGAGACCCACGTCCTGGAGGCTCCACCACGGGTCTGGGTGCCCCTCCTGGCAGATGTGAGAAGCCACTTGCCCCACGGAGTCCCAGCTGGAGTTCCGAGTGGCCGTCTCAAGCCCCCCGTGTGGTTGGAGCTGGTCCCGGCAGGGTGCTGAAAAGGCAGTGTTGGCCTCTTCTGATGGAACGGAGCTGCACTGGAAGCGGGGCTGGGGGGATAGCACCCCATCCGTGCCCACCCTGAGCAACAGCCTCTGGCCCTCGTTGCATCTGACAGTGAACCACCTGCGTCTCTGAGCGTGTCGGCAGCTAAGACCGTGCCCGGGGAGGCCGCGCAGACACGGATGCGTCTGCAGAGACATCCCAGCACAGGGGAGGGCACGACCCCACCCCCGGCGCCCCTACTTTGTCCTCCCCGCCAGCTTTGGGGTCAGACACAAACAGACGCAGACTGCTCAGCATATGATTTTATAAGACTCACATCTAGATCAATTCAAAAGCACCAACAGCCCAGGTCACTGGTGCACAGGACGCATGAGGAAAGGCCGCCTCCGGGTGCCAAGCTCTGCGTCCCCCACACGCACCAGTCGGGGTCCATCCAGGTCTTCCATGCTGACCACGCACCGGTTCCTCCTCCCCACCAGGCACGAGGGCTCGGCTTCCGGGGTGGCCTCAGCGGGCACTGGGCTGTGGGGGGACACAGGACAGGGTCAGGCCGGGCCGTGCTGTCTCCCCGGCCCGCCCAGACCCTGGTTCTGGCAGGAAACTGCATCTGTGTCGTTTCCTCAAACACAAGCTTGGGCAGCGAGTGGCAGGGAGGTTGGCTGTACTGTCCCAACTTCACCTGTTTGTGCGACATTTTCCTAATAAAAATGTAAAAAGCACGTTTCCGTGGGAAGCTGGTGTCGTGTTTCACTCAGCCTGCCATCTCTGCCCCTGCAGTGCCATCTGGGGGCTGCAGAGCAGCGCCTGCCCCGGGTCCGGAGGGGTCCTGCAGGACCCAGAGAAGGGCCGGCAAGACAGACACCAGGACCTCCCCAGGAGGGGAGGCGAGGAGAGAGGTGGGAAAAAGACGTCACCTCAGAAGTCACTCAGTGACCAGAACCGACAGGGCGTGAACACAGTGGAGAATCCAGAACAAAGGAGAAAAAAGGCGACCGAGCGGGAGGCGGGCCGAGTGTCTGATCAAGAGCGAGCCGACGCGCCCTGGGACGGCGAGGGGTCCCGGCCAGACCCCAGCCTGGGCCCCTGACCCCAGGCGGCATCCGTCTGGGAGGAATGCTGCCCCGGAACCCGACAGAACAGGACCGGAGCAGCCAGTTACTAGAAGGGGGTGTGAGAGGAGAGACATCTTTCATCCAAACAAGGACAAGAGAAAATAAAGGGTCAAACAGAAACAGGAAGATGGCAGGCAAACCCAGTAAGTCCAAAATCACACACTAAATATAAGTAGACAAAACACTCCAATTACTAACAACCGTCACACTGGGTTTAAAAAGGGCAGTGAGCCTACCTACCTACTGCGTGAGTGTAAGAACCTCCAGAACCTGAACACGAAGTGACGAAAAAAGACGTGCTTACACGTGAATGCCAACCAGAAGCTGCGGCGTGGCTCTGTGAACATCAAAGGAGACTTGAAGACGCGAAGCATCGTTACAGACACACAGGGGTATTTCCACCGGTGGTCAGCCCACCAGCACAGGCTGAAGCGTACAGGTGCCTGTAACACAGCTCTAAATGCACCGCCGAAGTCGAGAAAACTGAAACTGGAAGTTGGGAAATCTACAACACTACTTCCTCAGTGACTGCCAGGATGAGGGGACAGGAGAGTGTGGCCGCGCCAGGGGCCTGCGCAGCACGGCGGGGGACATACACAAACTGACACCAGGCGCTGCTCTCGGCTCCGAGAACTCAGGCCACCGCTCTGCAGCGGGAGAAGGGAGGTCACAGAGAGCCGAGGCCGGGGCTGGCTTCCCCTGAGCTGATCCAGAGCCAGAAGGCACAGCAAATGGTGGTGCTGACGCTGCCGGCGGCTGAGTGTGAGAAACTTGGGGGCCTGTCTGAGGGGGACCCACACTGCCCTGCGGTTTCCCTCCTGGGGAAAGGCCCCCAGGGCCCCGCCCCAGCCAGGGCGGCACTCTGCCCACTGCCACCAAAGGGAACAGGGCTCTGGTGAAAGTGGAGGACCAGGCCCAGGCCCCCCAAGGCTGAGGCTGAATCAAGAAACCGCAAATGCTCCCCCTTCCCCACCTGCCACCTCGCCCACAGGCTCCAGTGTCATAACTGGGGGCTCCAACTCAAAGTTGCAGATGCGACAACCCGGAGGAGGAGGCGCCCACGTCCAGGGACGAGAAGGAGGCTCTGGACCTCCCTCGGGCCCATCACCTCGTTCCTCTCCCCCAGGCAGCACGTCTGCCTTCAACAAAAGCATACCAAGTAAGTAAGACAGAAGGCAAAAAAAGCAGACAACGCCAGCGTCAGGACCAGGCTCAGAAATGGCAGAGATGCTGGAGTCACCAAACAAGGAACTTGAAACAACTGTGATCAACACGCCAGGGGCTCTCGGGGACAAAGGGGACACCGAGCAGGGACAGATGGGCAATGTGGGCAGAGACGGACACTCCGGAAGGGCCAGCGCGAGGGCTAGAAACCACTAACACCGTAGCAGACGCGGGTGCCTCTGATGGGCTCGTCCTAAGACCAGACGGGGCCAAGGAAACAATCAGCGAACACGAAGATAGGGCGACAGAAACTGCCTGAACTGCAGTGCAAAGGGAAGTAAGAGTGGGAGAGAGAGAGACTTCTCCAGGACTGTGGGACAGTCACCCCGACGTGCAGGACTACCCAACACTGGAACGCCGAGGTCACTCACGGTCAGGACTCAGATCAGAGACGTCAGTTCTCGCCAAACCAACCCACAGGCTCTGAGCAACCTCAGCCCAGCTCCTGACTGTGGGTTCACTGAGACACTGGGCATCACGACCCCCGTGAGACCGCAGGCCCACCCCTGCGTCTCCAGGATTCAAGACCAAATCTGCGTCTGTAAGACAGGGCGTTGCCGGCTCACAGATGGACAGAGACCCAGAGGTCAGAGGATCCAAGAAGAGAGCTCTGACGTGTGGACTCGGGACGAGGGGCCGACACGCTGTGGCCAGCAGGGAGCTGGCTTGGCTGCATGTGTCCGCTGACCTCTCCTTCACGCCACATGCAGGCACCAAGTCCAGGGACAGCGTGAGTCCAAACGCAGAAGGTGAAACAGCGAAGCCTTCAGGGGAAAACAGAGGCTGTCGATGTCATCAGAAGAGGTAACGACATCTCAGCCCCTGAGACACGCGGTATTGGAAGCACGCCCGTCGAGAGCAAGGAGCCCCGAAAACGGAGGACAGACAGACAGGCAGGCGGCCTGCCGGCAACACGGACGGAAGAGAGCACATCTGAATGGCCAAGTGCTCAGCCTCCCGTTGCCAGGGATACAGGCGAGCCCCAGCCCAGAACCACCACCGAGGGAGCGGGGGCACATCAGCCACTCGGGCCTGCTGTCAGCAGGGCCCGCTGGGAGGCCTCCGCCCGCGGTGGGAACGCGTGTGTCCCCACCGCCTGCAGGGCTTTCACAGGCACGAGGAGCCCTGGGCCACGTGGTACGGCCGCCGCTCACTGCTGTTCCTCCTCAGCAAAAAGCTCAGGACCAGCCTCTCCAGAGCCAGGTCCAACCCCAAGTCCAGGGGGAAAGGAAGAGGACGTGCCCCCTCCCCAGCCCAGGACTGAAGAGAAGCCGCAGAGTCCAGACCCCCTGCCGAGAGCACGCAAAGCAGCTCCTGGAAGAGCAGCCCGGGGCCCCCGATCGCAGGGAACCGCAGCCACGACGCATATGCCACACGCACCCCAGGGAACGGCGACCCCGCGGGTGGACACCAGCAGGCCCTGGGAAAACCAGGGGCTGACAAGGTCCCCGCCGGGACAGGTGCCCAGGAGGTGGCGACGGTGGAAACACAGAAGGGCCTCTTCTCCGACCGACGGTGGGGAAGATGCTGTGCCGCGCTGAGGGCAGGAGGGGCTGGGCGGCCGCTCAGCTGGGGGCCCGTCGTGGATGCTGACTCGCAACCCACATGACCGTGTCCAGCGAGAGAGGGCGTGTATGCGCAGGGGGCTCCTGGGGCTCAGCCCATTGGTAGGAGCTGGCAGTGGGGACAGGGACTGGCTCCTTGGGATATGGCTCCCGCTCCCGGCCCTGCCTGTCCTGCATCCCTGGGGTCCTGAAAGCACCACATGGGCCGTGATGGGGAAAGCAAGGCAGGCAGTGTGGCCCAGAACATTCTAAACCCTGGAGCCTGGGATAGGAGCTCGCCAGTGCTGCGTCTGGAGGTCTCACAGAGAAAGGGCCCCAGTGTTCCCCAACATGGCCTGAGGGGCATGTGGTTACCTTGGGGACCAGCTGAGGTCTGGGCACACCCAGGAGGTCACATAGGTGGTTCCGCTGGCCTCTCACGACTGGGAGCTCTGCGTCCCTGGGGAAGAAAGGGCCAGAGGAGCGTCAGCCATAAGAACAGCCCACGTGGTTAAAGCTGCCACAAACTTCAAAACTAAGCTTCCTGTCAGGTGTCCAAAAACCCCAAGGTAGACATCGGAGAAGAGGACACCCCACCCTGGAACCTACACCCAGGAGAACCCAGCTCATGTCGTTATTTGAGAAGAAATAATTTCATTTCAGCTTTTCCCAACTGAACGCCCCAGGAAGCGCCTCCTCCTCCGAGTGGGGCTGCCCATCTTCCGTCTTTCCTCTGGAGGATTTTTGCCGAGCGACCACGGAAGGTTCTGGGCGCTCTGCTCGCTGCAGCTGCCACTCCCGGGTCAAGGGATGTGCCCTGCACTCACCAGGCCGTATCGCTGAGCACAGCCATGACCTCATCCAGGATGTCGGCACCCACGACATCGTAGGTCAGCAGCATCTCGTACACCTGGCTGGCCGTGGCCTTCCGGATCTGGCGGGACAGAGTGCGTTGGATGGAGGGAAAGGCCCACGGCACAGAGCAGAGCTGTGGGACCCTGCCAGGGACGTGGGGACGTGGGGATAGGCCCGCCCCCAGGAGCCCCAAAAGGCATGTTTGAGAAGAGGAGGAGGAAGCTGGACGACTTTCACAGGTCAGGCCGTGTCACTCTTACTGAAATGCTTCATTAAAAACCTTCTCATCAGGAAGTCACCTCGCACGTTTTCTAGTCGTGCCCGATGGTGACGTACCTCCTGGCGCACGTGCTCCCAGACTCCCCTGGCCACCCCCAGAGCAGCTGGCCGGCAGGTCAGGGCCTGAGAACCTGTGTCTCTGGTCCAGTGACCCCACTTTGAGAATAGTTTTGTTAGGTGAGAGTTCAAACTACTCAAACGTTTTAGGAAAACGTCACGTTTGCGTTATTAGAAGACTGTTTCTTCTGTCAAAAACCTGCCCCTGGGGTGGGGTGAGGGTTGCGGGGAAGGTGTTGCCCCAGCTGTAGGTGGAGCCACTGAACCCGAAACCCCGCGGCAGGGCAGGGGGTGCATCTGTGGCCCCACACCTGTGGCGGGGGCTCCCTCGGGGGCACAGGTCCCCCCAGTGGAGCATTTCCCTGAGGCCCAGGCTCACTGGGGGTGCGCCCAGCCCCGGGTCCTGCCCTGCGAGCCCTTCGCCCCCAGAGACCACACTCAGCAGGACCCTCCAGGCCCACCCTCGCCTCCGCCCCCGCATTCCCACTTCCGGGGTCCGGGATCCCAGGTCCCATTCTGCCCGCGTCAGCCCCCGGCAGGGACGTGTGCGCCACGGAGCTGCCGACACTCACCACAGGGAACGGGTGGCAGAGCAGGAGCAGCAGCTGCAGGAGGACCTTCCTCCTCACGTCGCCGGGGAACTGCACCAT